AATGTCTTAACACAATAACTAAGAAAAAGACATGAAGGCTATGTTAACCAGTTGGATGAAAGTATTTCAAATTGTATACAGAAACAGTATACTGTACCCCATATAGTACTAATGTACACTGCTATGGTTTAATTTTTTTTTTAAAGTTGAATAAATAAAAAATAATAAATAAATAAAAATAAAAATGGGACAGGCATGGTGGCACACACCTGTAATCCTAGCACTCTGGAAAGCCAAGGTGGACAGATTGCTTGAGCTCAGGAGTTTGAGACTAGCCTGAACAACAGTGAGATCACATCTATACTAAAAAAATACAACTTAGCTTTTAGAAAAATTAGCTAGGCAACCAAGAGGCAAGCCTATAGTCCCAGCTACTATGGAGGCTGAGCAAGAGGATCGGTTAAGCCCTAGAATTTGAAGTTGCTGTGAGCTGCAATGATGCTACTGTATTCTAGCCAGCGTGACAAAGCAAGATTCTGTCTAAAATAAATAAATAAATGGCCACACTGAAAAAAAGGCAAGTCTGAGAAACTGCCCCAGATTAGAGGAAACTAAGGACAAATAACAACTAAATACAATACATAAGTCTAGACTCCTGTAACACATATTTTTAAAAAAAAATCACAAAGGTTAATACTGGATAAATTAACAACAGTAAAATATGGATAAAAGATTAGTTAAAAGTTTTACACTAATGCAAAATGGCAATGCTAAATTTACATTGACAAATTTATAGGGCTGACTGGGTATCTAAGAGAATATTCTTGTATTAAGAAGTATATAATAAAATATTCAAGGAGAAAGTACAAGATGTATGGCATGTATTTACAAATATTCAGGAATGCATATGTATTTTCTGTGCATGTGTGTGTGAGAGAGAGAGAGAGAGAAAAAGAGAAAAGAGAAAAGGGAAAGGAAAAGAGGGAGGGAGAGATACAGAGAAGAGAGAGATCACAAATTTGTGAGAGATCACAAATTTGTGAGAGATCACAAATGAACCAAAATGTTAACATTAAGTAAATTTGGATGGAGGGTAAACTATTGTTTACCATCCATGCAACTTTTCTACAAGTTCAATTACTTTCAGATTAATACATTTTTAAAATGGACCATTGACTATGCTGTCTTGAGTTTACATAATGTTTGAGATTTTTGGTTTTGATTCCCACAGTTGCCATGCCACACCCAGACCCCAGTTGTGTGATGATGCCAATTTCAACACTATGGTCTCAGGTTCTGTCCCAGGCAAGAACCTGAGATCCTCTTTCCACTGGGTTGCAGGTGCTTTATCTGCTTGGCTAAGTCAGTTACCTGGATCTCCCTCTTCCACCTTTTGACTCTTCTGCTGTACCCACTCCTGTTGCTATCATTCAGAAGCACTTATTCTTTTTTAAATATTTTACTTTTTAAATAATTTTAATGAAATGTAGTTCACATACTGCACATTTCACCAATTTAATGTATATAATTCAACCATCTTTAGTACACCACAGAGTTCCACATCCATCACCAAAGTCCATTTTGTAATATTTTCATGACTTCAAAAAGAAATCTCATACCCTTTAGCCATCACAATTTTCACCCCTCATTCTTTCACCCCTAAGCAACCATTAATCTACTTTTGTCACTATAGATTTCCTTATTGTGAGCATTTCATAAGAATGGAATCACATGTGGTCATTTGCTTGTGGCTTTTTTCACTTAGCATCATGATTTCAAGGTTCATCCATGCTGTAGCATGTGTTAATACTTCATTCCTTTGTTCATGTTATGGATGAATAATAGTCCAATCTATGGATATACCACGTTTTGTCTATCAGTTCATTAGTTGATGGACACCTGGGTTGTTTCCACCTTTTGACTGTCATGAATAATTCTACGTGAATATTTGTTCAAGTTTCTGTGTGCACATATGTCTTCATTTATCCTGGGTATATACCAGGAGAGGAATAGGTGGGTTATATGCTAACCCTGTTTAACATTTAAGGAACTGCCAGACTGTTTTCAAAGCATTTTACATTCCCCCAGTACTGTATGAGGCTTCCAGTTTCTCTTCATTCTCCCAAACACTTATCTGACTTTTTGATTCTACCCATTCTAGTGGGTATAAAGTGGTATTATTTCATAGTGGTTTTGATTTGTATTTTCCTAACATGTAATGATATTGAGCCTTTTTTCATAAACTCCTTTATTTTTAATGGCATTGGGGGGAGGAGAGGAGATAAACAAGTACATTATTTGATCTACTTTATTTAACTAGAAACACAATAGCTCACTTTAAGTATATGATAGAAAAAAATTTTTTCTTCTAAATATTTGAAAACATTTATTAGCAATCTCAATTTTTATCAACATGTAAAGTTTTCTACTTCTGTATTTTTTTAAGTTATACTTACTGTGTGATTAAGCAACCACAAGTTTATGCACTGAATTTGTTCTGTAAAGATTATAGTTTGCATGGGGGCAGGAATTCAAATGATTTCTCAGGGATTACTGTAAAGCAGAGCAGAGGTGATTGCCCGAGCCAGTAAATCTCAACGTGGTTCAGTCACCAGTGCTGTGTACTTGTGTTGTGGGTAAGTACGATCTTCATGTGATAAGTATCAAAGGAATCTGAGAGCACTGACATAGGGCACATGACATATCTTCTGAGAAATACATGAAAGATGTTTAAACAGCCTTTTACACTTCAGCAGAGTGTCAAAGACGGAATACATCATGCATGGTAATTATGAAAGGTAGGTGTTGGATAAAAAGAGAGTTATACTTTTCTATCTGCTTTTGTGTATACTTAAACAATTTTGTAATAAAATTTGAAAACAGCTTTGAAAAATAAAAAATGTCAGGCTGGACGTGATGACTCATACCTATAATCTAGGAGGCTGAGTCCAATGGATTTCCTGAGCTTAGGAGTTCGAGACCAGCCTGAACAAGAGCCAGACTCTGTCTCTAAAAATAACTGGATATTGTGGCAAGTGCCTGTAGTCCCAACTACATAGAAGGCTGAGGCAAGAGGATTGCTTGAGCCCAAGAACTTGAGGTTGCTGTGAGCTTTAACGCCATGGCACTCTACCAAGGATGACATAGTGAAACTATCTCAAAATAAATAAATTGATTGATTCATTAATTAAAATTAAAAATGTCAAATACCTCATGAGGGGAGAGGACAGTAAGGACAGTTGGCAAGGGTGGATCAGGCCATCAAGACCAGGTTGTATGAGCAGGCATGGTAGCACCCACTTGTATTCCAAACTAATTAGGAGGCTGAGGCAGGGGAATAGCTTGAGCCCAGGAGTTTGAGATTGCAGTGAGCTACGATGACACCAATGCACCCTAGCCCAGGCAATAGAGGAAGACTCTTGTCTCAAAAAAAAAAAAAAAATCTAGGTTTTAGCTATCTCTCAATAAAGACAATTCAGGAAATGTAATTCCTTTAAGGCCAGAAACCTTAGAAGGAAATCTCCTTCTATACATCAAGAAGAAAGAAGAAGAGGAGAAATAGATATAGTTTTTTCAAAGGTTTCCTCCTGACAAATTTCCATCTAATGGCTTCTTCTTCCTCTGTGAAGGGTGAGTCCAGCACATCTGCTAAGCAAGTGGAGATGGCCTAAGTTTAAGCAAAGTACAGAAGGTTTGAAATAGATGTGAGCAGCATGGGAAAGTGGACTTGAAAAAAAAATGATGTAAACTCTATTTGTTATGTTTACTATTAGAAAGTACCAGATAATTACAGAACTAGGCCTACTGTACTGACACATACATATTATGGTGCATGTCTGGTCTATGAGTTTATGAAAATTAGGTCAACTTAAGGAGGTGGCAATGTAGGAAGGGGGTTGGTTATGGAGGTTCTACTAGAGTTCCAAAGTTTCCTTCTTTGAAAAACTGGAGGATTTTGTCTGTGAAATCCCCACTGTACCCTGGGAGGATACAGAAGCAGAAGCCAACAGTCACATCTGCACTCTCAGAGGACCCTTTATTGTGGGGACAGAGCTTGAAGGCTCTCGACATTGCTCTCCTGATCAGTCCAACAGTGCCACTTGGTCAAGTGACACCAATATAAGAATGTGACTAAAAGTCAAGTGTCAGGAGAGCCTATTCTCCTTCAGAGAACCCACACTTTCTAAATATGCCAATCCGGGGCCACAAAATCACTGCGTGGGGGTTTATCCTGGAAGCCTCCACCACAGCCAGACAGCCAGCCTTTGAGCCTGAAGTGGAGGAACCTTAGACCTTCTGAGCCCCTCCCGGCCCTGCTCAACCTCTTCCCTAGAAGAGTGATATTCTACAGATCTCTAAACCAACTCATTTAGAAATGTGGGAATAGGAATGGGAAAGACAACAAAGAATCTCTCCTGGGTGTCCTTTATCATTCTGCTGTCCCAGGCCGTTGTAAAAATGAATCCATAACTGGGTGCATTAGGTACAAAAAGATTAACGCCAAAAAAACCCAGAAAGGTGAATTGGGGGACCATATAGAAAACAGCTGAGGATCTCCATGTCTGAATAGCTGAGCTCACTGAAGCAGCTGAGAGCTGAGGGTGCCTGGCCTTTCCTATATATAGTCCCAGGCCCGCACCACAGACCTCAAGAGTCACAGAGGATTTCTGAGGATGGAGAATGGACCATGGCGGGGCCACAGCCCCTAACCCCCTACAGCTCAGCAGATTCCTCTGCCCTTCATGGGCCCTCTGGAGCTGTCTGACCTCCTCTGCTACCCTATTTTCTGACTTCACCCTTTCTTCACATCATATATTCACCTCAGTGAAATTTTCAGTTTGTTTCTTTAGTCATCCAGATGTTACCTGAGTCCCCTGTTACTGAGCAGAACCCTCGACTTGGGCCTCGAAAGCCTGAAATACTGCCTAGAATTTCTGCTTATCCCAGACATTTATACTCTCAAGATCACACATATCCATGTTCTCTACAGCATGTTTTTTCCTTACACTAACTCAAATATAAAACTTAAAATTCTTTTATACTGATCTCTTCCGCCACCATTTTAAATCCAGCTCCATACGACGCTCCGCCGCTGCTGCCGCCACCGGACTACGCGCCAACAACCCCCTGCCGACAGCTCGGCCACCATGGAGGACACGAACGAGTACAGCAAGATAGAGGAATTTGCAGAGGGCTCCAAGATCAACGCGAGCAAGAATCAGCAGGATGACGGTAAGATGTTTATTGGAGGCTTGAGCTGGGATACAAGCAAGAAAGATCTGACTGAATATTTGTCTGGATTTGGGGAAGTTGTAGACTGCACAATTAAAACAGATCCAGTCACTGGAAGATCAAGAGGATTTGGATTTGTGCTTTTCAAAGATGCTGCTAGTGTTCATAAGGTTTTGGAACTGAAAGAACACAAACTGGATAGCAAATTGATAGACCCCCAAAGAGCCAGAGCTTTAAAAGGGGAAGAGCCCCCTAAAAAGGTTTTTGTGGGAGGATTGAGCCCAGATACTTCTGAAGAACAGATTAAAGAATATTTTGGCACCTTTGGAGAGATTGAAAATATTGAACTTCCCATGGATACAAAAACAAATGAAAGGCGAGGACTTTGTTTTATCACATATACAGATGAAGAGCCAGTAAAGAAATTGTTAGAAAGCAGATACCATCACATGGGTTCTGGGAAGTGTGAAATCAAAGTTGCACAGCCCAGAGAAGTCTATAGGGAGCAACAGCAACAACAGAAAGGAGGAAGAAGTGCTGCATCCAGTGGACGAAGTGGTACTAGGGGTAGAGGCCGAGGTCAGGGCCAAAACTGGAACCAAGGATTTAATAACTATTATGATCAAGGATATGGAAATTACAATAGTGCCTATGGTGGTGATCAAAACTATAGTGACTATGGTGGATATGATTATACTGGGTATAACTATGGGAGCTATGGATATGGACAGGGATATACAGACTACAGTGGCCAACAGAGCACTTAGGGCAAGGCATCTCCAGGGGGTGGCAATCACCAAAACTATTACCAGCCATACTGAAGGAGGACATTAGAGAAACAGGAAGAAATGCTAACGTAACTCATCCTGCAGGACAACAGCGAAGATTGGTCTTCTGCTGATCTAAGATGACTATTTTGTAAAAGACTTTCTAGTGTATAAGACACAAATGTGTCCAACTGTATATAGCTGCCAATTAGTTTTCTTTGTTTTTACTTCGTCCTTTGCTACCTGCTATGACTCAATGTGGATTTGTGTTTATATACATTTTGTTTGTATGACTTCATGTGAAACTTCAAATAAATGCTTCCTTATGTGAAAAAAAAATTCTTTTATACTTTCTTAGCTTTATGAAAATGGAATATCAAACTTTTCATTTAAAAGTTAGTCTTTACTGTTTTCAGAGGGACTGATTCAAATAATTAAAACTAACAATTCATAATTCAACATCCACAAAGCTAAAATAAGTATAAAATAAATGTATATGAGGCCAGGTATGGTGGCTCATGCCTGTAATCTCAGCACTCTGGGAGGCCAAGGTGGGTGGATCACTTGAACTTGGGAGTTTGAGAACAGCCTAAGAAAGAACGAGACCCCCATCTCTATGAAAAATAGAAAAATTAGCTTGATGTGCCTGTAGTCCCAGCTACTCAGGAGGCTGAGGCAAAAGGATTGCTTGAGACCAAGAGTTTGAGGTTGCTGTGAGCTGTGACACCAGAGAATTCTACTAAGGGTGAAAGGGAGACTGTCTCAACAAAATAAAAATAAAATAAAATAAAAGTATATAATTAAAACTTCAAGTGATCTTACAGGTAAATTCGTAACACTTATTTTTCTGAAGTTAGTGAAGCTTAAACTGTACCAAGACTTTTGGGACATGCTCTATCTGTCTGTACACATACAGGTACCCACACACCATTCTTTGACAAATCAATCCACTATTTTCAAACATAAGAATCAATTATTTCCTCCTTTCATTTCAATCTTTCATTCATTATATTGTCCACACTTTTTCTAACCCTACCTGAAATACAGTCCCAGCCCTCTACCACAGTTCCAGCCCTCTACTGCAATTTTCTAATAAGTATGTGATGCCCCCAAGCCAGGCATAGGTCACCGAGTGCTAAGCTATTGTCTCCCTCATGCCTTGGTGGCAGGGTGGGACCTAGAAGTGTCATAGCTTGAAGTTAGAATCTAGTCTTAAGCAATGTCATCTGATTATACTATGGGCCCAGTTAATGTGATATTTTTCAAAGAATGCCTTGGAACCCACCCACTCCCCCCAAAAAAAGCCTAAAAAAATCTGCTTTATATAATCACCCCTGCAAATGTCCAAAGACCAACTACCTGTCACACTTTATTCAGGAGTTCCTTGTCCTAATAATCCCAATACCTTCCCTCTACCTCTTTCCAACAACTTCTTTTCTAAACTCTTTCTCATCATAGCAGCTGTCCTGTGAACTGTCTCCTAACTTCTCACATTTGTCTTAAACTATGTAGCCCTTTTTTGATGCCCATGGGCCAACGCTGTGACTTGATCTCCTTAGAAGGAGTGAGACAGCCTCCAGCCTGGCAGGATCTCCTTTCCGCTCTGCCACTTCCCCCTCTCTCTGATATGCATTCTCCATCAAGTTTTCATTAATAAATATTTACTTCTGGAAACTAAGAAACACAAAATCTGTAAGTTGTGGGCCCCACCCTTGCCCTCGTAATGCAGTTTTCACAGTGAGTCCTGCACAGTTCAAGAGCTACACAAATATAGAGCAGCAGTTTCCCCACCCCAGCCTGTGTAACAGCCAAGAGATCTCTGGAACAAATCAGACACTATGGGTTATAACTGTTCAGACACATCACGCTCCTTCCCAAAGTATCCCTGAATGTCTGCCCTCCCCAGTTTTCTGATATGAATTAATGATTCTTTGATAAGATAGTCCAAGAAGAGCTTTTCTCTTTTAAAATGGCATTCCTTGACAACATATCCTTACAAGTGTATGTGTGCCTAAAGTTAAAACCTATAAGAAGCTTCAATAAGAAGCCTGTCCCCAAATGCTGGTGTGATTCCTTTTTTGAAGTTAATAGAAGCTCCTTTATGGTTTCAAAGAACAAGAAACTAAAGGTACAACATCTTTTTGGTACCACCAAGAATAAACTCCATTGACACTGAGTGGCAGAGCTTCATAGCACTCATCCTTTCTACACTAGCACCTATGAGGAAAAATAAATTTGTTTGGCTAATTTATAAAAAAAATTACTTCCAGCAATCTCTGTAGATTTTCACAACCACCCTGTGAGGTAAGCAGGGCAAGTATATTTGTGCTTATTTTATCAATGAATAAAACCATAGTTCAGAGAGGGTATGTGACTTATGTAGATCTCACAGTCAGTGAGTGGCAGAGCCCTGACTAATAATCTCCTATACTCTCACTGCTTCTATTTTAAACAATATTAATAAGTGATTTCTAAAAAGCATGCCCGAGTCCTAAAATTAAAACTGTTGTGTGGCTAAGAATATTCTCTTTGTCTGTTAAACTCTGGTAAATTAAGGAAGTTTAAAAAAGCTTTTTTAGATACCCTATTACCTCTTAGCTAATTTTTCTTTTTCATTCTTAGCACCAATATCTTTATAGTTTTTTCCATCCCCTTCTTAAAACCTGCCTTCAACAACTATATTACATATGACTCCCAGTAAAAGAAAATTAATAATAAAAGCTTAAAATGTCATCTCTCCCAGGAATACATTTCATACATTGTACCTATATCTAACCACTCAGTCTTGTAAGAACTCTCAGCAGAGCACTTCAGGCAGCCATTGGGAGGGGGCTGAGGTGGCTTCTGGGAGAGTGTGGTCTCACCACCACCCTATGACTTCTCCCACCTGATCTACCTTATCTCAGAGAAGTCTGGTCCCAAATTTCACACTGCACTTGGTTACATTATCTCCATGGAAGAATGTTTTCCAAAAGCTCTATTAGAGTTACATGCTATTTTTTTAAGAGACTCAGTATAGATTAGTTATTAGTTTAGGACTTCCATATGTCCTCAGTTTCTAGGAAATTTGCTCCATGCTCACTCACTCAGATTCTGACCACTGTCCCTGGGATCACCCCCTTGGAGACTGCTGTTTTCAGGATCCCCAAAACCCTGAAGAGCAACAGATTATAAGACAAAATCCTTTAAAGCTGCATTAAAACAGTGGCAGTGGAATGTCCTTCATACATTCACACAACTAACGTGCCATGAATTCTACTGTGCAGCATCCTAGTACTGTAGAAATGTTAACAAAATAAGACATCGCCTCTGCAATGAGAAGAGGCCTGAGAAGTGGGAGCTGTAGACCAGTCTTCCATGGCAGGCTGGGCACTACAATCTTCAGTGGAGACCTGCTGAATAGGCACAGGGGGCACCTGCAGCCTTCTGACCAGTCTGCAACTCAGACTGAGCAACAGTAAACTCAGGAGCTGGAGTAATCCATACACCCTGAAATCTCTCCTTGGTCATAGCTTTCTCAGCAGCAGCCTGCTCTTCCTTTTCAATCTCTTCAGGATCTTGGTAGAAGTAGAGATCAGGCATGACCTCCTATGGGTATTCACTAGAAGTGGTGTCACGCATGCAGAGAACTTCCTGGGCCAGCATCCACCATGTCAGACCTACTGAGGGAGCTCCCTTGTTATTGCATGGATGGAGATGTCCACATAACACAGAGAGAATCTGTGTTACACAGAGCAATGGTAGGCAAGTTAACATAAGATACATCTGTGAGAGGTTGGTGGTCTACCCTGGGATCAGTAACCACTACAAGTCATGGCTCCCAGAAGGCTTCCTGGATCTGGTTAGTGAAGGTTCCAGGAGTAAAGTGGCCAGCAACAGGAGTGGTTCCAGTGGCAGCAGTAAACTTCAGCACAGCTCGCAGGCCAGTATTTCTGGAAGGTATGACACTGATATCAGCAGGGTTTTCAATAGTAACAAAGGTACAAGCTGCCAACAGAAGCTTCTCCCAGGTTCTCTTCAGATTTATGATGGAGATGCATCACTTTTCCTTTTGTAGATTACTGTTGCATTTGGAAGTCAAGGTTGGTACCACCTAAGTGGGTTCCTGCTGCAAGAAATTTGAAGACATCCTTCTCCTTCATTTGTAGGACATCAAGGGCTCCAGATATTGTGAAAATTTCCCTTTAGATTATAATGAGAATCCAGAACAACACCATGTGGACCTTCCCTGAGAAGCGCAGAAAAGCTATTCTTCCTTTTAATAAACATTATTCTTTGAATCAATTTTAGGCTCACTACAAAAGTGGAAACTACAGATTTCCCACATACTCTCCCCACACACAGCCACCCCAACTATCCAAACCCAAGCCCAAGCAGTGCCTTGTGTTAGATGTAATGACCCTACATTGCCACACTGTCACCCAAAGTCCATACTTTACATTAAGAGTTGTACTCTTGGTGTTGTACATTCTGTGGGATTTGACAAATGTAACCTGACATATACATACCATTATAGTGTCACCCAAAATAGTGTCACTGCCTTAAAATTCCTCTGTGTTCTGCCTATTCATTCCTCCCTCCCCACAATCCCCTGTTAGTCACTGGCATTTTTCCTATATGCATAGTATTGCCTTTTCCAGAATGTCACATAGGTGAAGTTGGATTGTTTAACAAAGCCCAGCACTGCCCACATCGCCTGTTGCTTCCTCTTTCCCTGTGGTCTCTGCACACACCTGTTCCTCTTCACCTTCTGCTGCCAGATGCCCTCTCCAGATGCCCCCAGCACCCTGCCTCTACTGAAGCCTGCAGAACCGTAAGAGGCAAGATGGATGACTGGAGCCAGCTTTCCACAGAGGCTCCCATCCAGAAGGAGAGTTAATGGACAGAAGCTTATCAAGTAAGCTGATGATATGGAGCTAACCCAAGACAGAAGATTGAAGAGTACACATCACCCCTGCTGAGGCAAGCTGGGACCCCAAGGAAACAAGTAATAGGTACAAAACCCATCACCAAGCGGACAGGAGTCCCCTCTCCCATGAGGACAGCTCA